TTATTAAAAAAAAATGCAAGGCGAAAATGAAATGAAATCGCTGATTATTAAAAATAAAAAAAAAATTTTACTCGCTAACTTGTGAATACTCAGTTACTTCTAAATTCATTAATTTTAGTTTATGATTTATATGTTAAAGTTAAGACGGTGTCCCGGCACCCAATTGTGGGCCATCCGCCGTCGGGTCTCTCCTGGGGACGGGTGCGGGTGTTACATATTATCACCAAATCATAAGGCAGATTTGGAAGTGCCCTTAAGATACCTGAGGGAGAGAATCCACTCACTGCATTTCAGTGTTTCTTTACCCTGGATTTGAAAAGAAATGGTGTAACAAACACCAATAGCTCATCCACTACTCATCGCGAGTCATCATATCTGGTACACGGTAGTAGCAGACATAACTTCAGAGCAATATCCGATCATACACAAGGTGTGCATTACCATGGTTCTTGTGCATACCATGGCGTACATCAAGTTGCCAACGGCGGATGCATAAGGAATCTTCTTCAGTTCTTCTTTTTCTTTCTCACTTGAAGGGCATTGACTGAGACTTAATTTGAAATGACCTGCAAGTGGAATACAAACTGGTTTCGCATTGCTCATATTGAATCTACTGAGAACTTTCTCGATGTACTTCTCTTAAGACAGCCACAACTTTCTCTTTTTCCTGTCTTTGGAGATGTTCATTCCGAGAATCTGTTTTGCCGATCCCAAATCCTTCATGGCAAAGGATTTCCAAGCTCCTTTTTCAAGCTCTCAATTTTCTTAGCATCTTGGCCCACAGCCCACCTAATACAAGCATTATTCATTCCACTATATTTAATCAAGAGAAATTAATAAAGTCGTCCTTCTATGTTGAACTTTTCACAAATACCCCACCGAGGATGCGCATCAGAAGTATTCCTCATACGCCGTGATCTTACCACGAAAGGATGTCAAACCTTTTTGTACCATTGTCTTGGTTGGGAAGCTTGTTTTAGGCCGTACAAGAGCTTTGGGAGCTTGTTTGAGGCCATACAAGCTTTTTTGCAATTTACACACCAAGTGTTCTTTGCCTTTGACTCTGAACCCTTCTGGCTGCTCCATATAAATTTCCTCCTCTAAGTCACTATGGAGGAAAGCAGTCTTTACATCAAGTTGCTCGATCTCAAAATTCAGGCTAGCTGCCAAACCGAGCACAACTCTGATAGAAGACATCTTGACTATGGGTGAGAAAATTTCTTCAAAGTCAACTCCTTTCTTCTGACCGAAACCCTTCACAACCAGTCTTGCCTTGTACCTCAGCTGTGAGTTTTTCTGTTCAGTCTTCAACCTGAACACCCATTTATTTTTCAGTGCCTTCTTACCTTGAGGCAGTTTCACCAACTCATAAGTCTGATTCTCATGCAAGGACTCCATTTCATCTTGCATGGCTCTTTCCACCACTCATTCTTTTTACAATCTTCCATTGCCTCCTGGTAGTTTTCTAGTTTTCCCCCTTGAGTCAACAAGTCATACTCATTAGGAGAATATCTCTGGGAACGTATCCTGCCTCTCGCAGATCTTCTCAATTGAGGCAGTTCTTCTGTAGGACCTGGTTCAGCGTCATTGTGAACTGGTTCACCATCGTCTTCTTCATCGTTTTGTGGTTCTACACGAGGTTCTGCATCAAGACTAACAGGAAACTCATTGATAGACTTTTGATAGACTTTGGCTTTTCATTTTTCTCAAAGTCTTCAATGGTTTGGTCTTCTAGGAATACGACATCTCTGCTTCTGATGAGCTTCTTTTCGACTAGATCCCATAATCTGTACCCAAAATCATCATTTCCATAACCCAAGAAGATACACTGTTTTGACTTCGAATCAAGCTTGGATCTTTCATCTTTTGGAACATGAACAAAAGCCCTGCAGCCAAATATTCTAAGATGATCGTAAGATATATTTTTCCCTGACCACACCTTTTTTGGTACATCTCCGTTGAGGGAGGTTGAAGGTGAAAGGTTGATCAAGTAAACTGCAGCATTCATTGCTTCAGCCCAAAAGGTTTTCAGAAGTTTAGCATGAGAGAGCATACATCTAACCCTTTCAATAATGGTCCTGTTCATTTTCTCTGCAACTGCATTCTGTTGTGGAGTTTTGGGAGGTGCCCAAAAACAAATCCGTGAGGGCTTGGCCCAAACCGGACAGTATCATACTAATTTGGGGTTGGGTGGTACGCGCAGTCCCATCAACTGGTATCAGAGCCCATGTTTGGAGCGGGCGTGAGCAGCGGACTGCGTAGTGTGAGAAAATTTCGGTGTGACCCTGTAACAACAGGACCAAGACCGAAAGAAGATCTGCAAGTGGTGCCTTGTGTCGAAAGTCTTCCCGACAAGAGGAGGTCGGGCGGCGTGTCCCGCAAAGTTGTAGCGGCGGTACAAGATTGAATATGAGCAAACATCAGTGTGTACCAATTCTAGAATACCAGGTTTTCTAGAAGGAGAAGGGGATCTATGAAAGGAAACTCTATGTTGTTTACCAGACAAACAATCAGTGCATATTTTTAAAGACAAACCTTTCAAAGATAACATTTTCTTCTTGGTGAGAGTCTCTATTCCTTTCTCACTCAAATGACCAAGTCGTTGGTGCCACAACTCAGCAGATGAATCTTCAACTGCATTCACTACTCCCGTGCAAACTTTGGCCTGGGTGTAGTTTGGCCTGGGTGTAGTAGAGGGTGTTGAACTTTCTTCCTCTACCGAATACCCAGTTACCTTTGGAAAGCTTCTAAGTTCTGTTGACAAACAGATTTGCATAACCCAATTCATCAAGACAATGAACTGAGATCATATTGAAGTATGCCGTAGGAGTGTATCTCACATCTTTCAACCAGAGATCGTAACCAGCATTGGTTTTGACGCATATTGTTCCAATGTTGCAATTTTTCACATACGTGCCATTCAAAGTCTTGACATGGCCGTAATCTCCGAGGGTAAGTGATGAAAAATATTCCTTTTTTGAAGAAATATGATAAGAACATGCAGAGTCAATAATCCAAAGAGATTGTTGACTTGTGGAACACTCACTGAGACCAGCATGAGAAATCAGCGCACTACCATCACCAAGTGTGTCAACACATCACTAATACTGAAGCCTACCTCGTACAGATAATTTTTCTTTGGATATATCACCCACTTTCTATGTGCCTTTGGATGTGACCCGGCGCCTTTGCCCACAATGATAACCAAGGTGAACCTTTTCTTAACTTCCCATGAATTGCTCCCGTTTAATTTGGATTTTGGGGGTATCTGGTTTTGCTTTTAACCCTCCTTTCGTGTAACTGTAAGAAAGTGCATCTGAGTTGCCTAATCGTACCAGCTCTCCCTTCACGTCTGGTATCTTATTTACTCTCAGAATCTTCCTTAACTGTGGTTAAAGGCTAGACTTCCCTTATGACAAGAGCGAGCATACGCGTCTCCCAACGGTTATAAGAAACTCATAGAATAGTGCCTCCACCTGGTCGTTAACACTATTTTTGACGTCGTCAGTTGGTTCCAATATTTCTGAAATTTGCCCAAGTGATCTGAAAGCACTTGCCCAAGTGATCTGAAGCACTTTCGCCATCTCTGTACTTTAGATTTACAAGCTTTTTAATTAAAAAAGCTTTGTTCTGGGCATTCTTCCGCTCGTATATGTCCTCCAATTTCTTCCAAATTGAATAGGCATCTTTCTCATGAGCGATATGATTTATGACGCTCATTTCAACAGACTGCCTAATAGTTGCGACTGCTTTTCTGTTAATCGATTTCCAATTAGTCTCATTTATTGAAGTTGGTCTGACTCCTTTCAACTCAATTCTTTCAAAGAGATCTTTGCAGCATAGAAGATCTTCCATTAATATCTTTCATACTGTATATTTTGATGAGTTGAGTCTAACTATTGTGCCTGTTGTTCTATTGTCCATTTTTGACTTGTGCAGAATATTATCACCAACAATCGTATACGTGAGTAGTGACCGTATGCGCGAATAGTAACAATATAAGTAAATAGTACTTGTATGCGTGAATAGTAACTATACATGTGAATAGTACTCTGCGTGAATAATGCTGGCTTACTTGAAATGGACTCAGCAGCCAATAATACTGTTCGCCATCAACTTTGAGTTACTATTTTACTATTCATCACTAGGTCGATTCTGCAACGTCTTTTTGTATATTTATTTTCAAAATATATCCACGGATCCGGTACTGCTATCTGCTTGGCTGGATCTGTTGGAACTTTCGGCTCTGATACCACTTGTTAGGGCCCCGGCAATAAAATTACGAGAATAATAACACAGCGAAAAATAGAAATATGACACACAGATATTTACGCGGTTCACCTTTTAACTGTTTAGGGCTACATCCACGGGACAAAAACCGAATATTTCTTCTACTATTAAAATTAATAGGCTTACACAGTGAGTAATACAAAAATAGTGACGCGCAAAAATATTTTCCAAAAATACCCCAAATTATCTTCACTATTTTCTCTACCTTCGTGTTAGAACCCTTTCTAAAACTGATCAACTCTCTAAATAATTTTTTTTTCCTTTCTTTCGCTCGGCTTGTTGTGTGTTGAAGCTCCAGCGCCATCTCCTATTTATAACGCGTCCACCGAAAAATAGATCACCGACCGAAGAAAATTTTGTTCTTTTTTAATTTTCTTCTTCCTTTTTCAACTGTGTATGGGTCCTACATGTCGGAGGGACCTACCACGTTTTTTTTCTTTTTTAATTATTTCAAATGTGGGTCCCACTGAGTGGGCACCGCACAACAAAATGCTCTTCTACCTCATGGAAAATGTGCTGAACCTGCATTATTTGATCTCTATAAGTAGAGACTCTGACTTCCATTTCTCATTATCATAAATCATACACTCTCTTCCTTTCATCAGTATTCCTTAACAAATTTCCAATCCGTTGTCTCACTTTTGCCTTTGTAATTAAGGTATGCTTCTTTTCTTTCTATCTCAAGTTAAACTCTAACAAAATATTTTAACTTGTAATCTATTAATTCTGAAAACTTTTCTAATATTATTTATTAGTTATACTGATATCTATTGAATGATTTTTTTTTTTTCATTTCTTGTTTCAACTATACTCGTATTATTAAAAAAAAAAAAAATTCTAATTTCAATTAAAGTAGACCGCAAAAAAAGTTTAATACCATGCTTGAAAATATATAAATTATGGTTTCAAATGTTAGAACCCATGAAGTGAAATTTGTGCAATTCAGATTTAGTTGGATCTGAGCCGACTAAGGTTGAAAGGTTAATATACACCAATTAACTAGTTATTTTTCCACCTTTATATACCCATTTTATGATTTGGTATTTAAATTAGGAGTAGACATTCCGTTCTTACAGTTAACTATTTATTGAATAAGTACTCATCATTTACTGACCGATTTATGTATTTCCTAAATTAAAAATTTATCCAATTATTAATTTACCTGTGGATTTACTGTTTACTGAGTTGATCAATTTACTATATTAAAGGTGGATTTTTCTTTTCGAAAAAATCCTTTAAATGATGTCATTTTGAATAAATATTAAATCCGAAATTCTTAATTTTTTTTTTACTTTAGCATACCATCTACTGTTTACTGTATTCTGTTCAAACAATTTATCGTACCGTTTACTGTTTTAATGAACTATTTTTATTGAATAACTGTTTTTACTGAAACAATTATATTAAGTTTTTCCAAGACGCTGGCTCCACAAATTATGGCAACAAGGGATTTAGTGCATAACAACTACTAAGTGTCTTGGGTTATAAAAAATATTTTTTTAATATAAAGTTTATTACTCTATTGCTCCATAAAAATACTTACTATAGCTATAGCTCTTAGTACTTTACAATAAGGAGTAATCATCTCTTTGACTTACTACATTACTGATAACAACTGTAGTCGAGAGGATTAAAACTCGAGATCTTCCATTCCTCATATAAATTAAGTGAGAAGATCAACCAGAACACTACCTCATAATCACTCACTGCTAATTAACAGTTGGATATTTTACATAATTAATATTTTAATTATGTAAATTGATAATCAAGAATGGATTTGGACTTATCACCAAAATTTCCCCAAAAGACATTATATGATGGAGAGGGTGGCTCTTACAAATCTTGGTCAGCTTCTGAATTAGCTGATGCAAAGGTTGGGGCAGGAAAGCTTCTTCTTCAACCTCGCGGATTTGGTCTTCCCCATTATGCAGACTGCTCTAAAATTGGCTATGTTCTTCAAGGCAAGTGCTTTTCACTTAAAGTGTATATACAAAACATAAAAGAGCTGAAATCCTTAGGACCAGTATCTCCTTATTCTGACAGGTACTGATGGAATTGTGGGAATGGTGCTCCCTAACTCATCAAAAGAGGTGGTGTTAAAGCTTAACAAAGGGGATCTAATATCCGTGCCTTTAGGATCTGCTTCATGGTGGTACAACAATGGAGATTCAAATCTTGTTATAGTTTTCTTAGGAGAAACTTCGAAATCTTACACAGCTGGAGAATTCACCTATTTCCTTTTGTCTGGAGGTCTAGGTGTTATAGGAGGTTTCTCATCAGAATTTACTAGTCAAGCTTACAATATGAACGAACAAGAAGCATGTAAACTTGCAAAAAGCCAAAATGGGGTTTTGATTGTTACTATTGAACAAGGAATTAAGATCCCTCACCCTGATCATTTGGAATTTCCAGAAAACATGGTTTACAATATTGATAGTGCAAAACCTGATCTTGAGGTAGAAAAGGGAGGTAGTCTTAAGATTTTTACACCTGAGAAATTCCCATTTCTTGGAAAAGTTGGATTAAGTGTTAGCCATGTGAAATTGGAAGCTAATGCTATGTACTCACCCACATACACTGCTGATGGAACAAATAGATTGATATATGTTGTTAAAGGAAGTGGAAACCTGCAAATTGTGGGGATTAATGGGAAAAGAGTTTTGGATACTAAAATAGAGGATGGTCAATTGTTTTTGGTGCCAAAGTTTTTTACTGTTGCTGCGGTTGCTGGCAATGAAGGAATGGAGGTTATTATCTCTATCACCAATTCCACATGGTAATTAATTATATTTTTTTTGATTAATTATGTTTTTTTTATTTTAAATACTTATTTTTTGGTTGATTAGGTCAGTAGATTTGAAATACTTATTGCATCTTTGGTTACATAATGAATGTTGGTATTTAGTAAAATTTTAGTAGCGGTTGGTGTTAAAATGCAAATTAACCATTGAACAGTATAATTATTTATATAAGTAATAGAAATTATTAGTTTTTTAAATAATTTTAAACAAAATAATCAAAAAATATTAATTTTAAAAAATAATTTTATTAGTAATTATTTTTACAAGATTAATAAAGTCCAAATAAAATATAAATACAAATCAACTATGAACTTATAATAAAAACTTCCAAAATGCTGAATGAATTAGAAACTAAATGGAATTAGCTGTTGATTGAAACTTCTATCAATTATTAGTGGCTCATTAAAACGCTTACCAAACATACATAATCTAGTCGTTAGATATGAATAAATTATTAACTGCATGAATCAACTGAATCAGATGCTCTTTAAAAAAAAGAATAATTTTGTTGTAAAGACACAAAATTAATTATTATATATGCACACAATGCTCTAACGCAATTTATAAAGTTAATCACTTATAATTAAGATATGAAGTGTTTAATTATATATATAGTATTCTTATTGTAAGTTTGATTAATTAATGTCTTTTGATTATATATTTTGTGTAGGCCTGTTGTTGAAGCGTTAGCCGCAAAAATATCAGTGTGGAATGCTCTTTCTCCTATAGTTTCACAAATTTCTCTTGGTATCACACCAGACTTGGAAAAACTCTTCAAATCCAATATTCAGAAGAACTCTGTTATTGTTCCTCCCAGAGAGGAATAAAAAGACGTGTCATTTTCAAAAATAAATTTAAAAAAAAATTAGACATGAAATACGTACTAGGTTGTAGTACGTACGTATTTCTTTTCCCAATTATGTATTTCCTCCTTACGCATTGTTGTACGAGAAGAATTTCCCTCTTATAATTTTTACTTATTGAACTGTGAAATAAGTTTTTTTTTTTTTTTTGAACTGTGAATTTCCACTAAAAACTCAGATTACACTTCACATACCCTTGATATGGGCCTTCGTTGATGGATCGATTTTGATATTTTGATGGTTAGAGAAAGCAGATAGATAGAGTAGAGAGAGATTTTAGGTGAGAACTATCCTCAATTTTGTGCAACTGAATTTAGACATAGAATGATAGGAAGAAAGAAGTTCATATCAGACGTTGCTTCAAAGGATCAAATAGGGTAAACAGTATATTGAGAAAACCTCAAATCTTTCACAAGCCAATTTTGAAAACATAAAAAGAGAGCAAAATAGGGATATGAGAGACTTCCATGGATTTCACTGGGATCGATGATAGAGAGAGAGTGAGAAGGAAGATTGACAAGCAAGAGACGAAGGACGACACAAGCCAAATAAAACGGTGAGTTTTGTGCTAACTCAATTTCTTGGGGCCCACAAATATTATTTTTTTTATTATCTAATTTTGACCAGATTGTACATAGGATGCAATTTTAAGAAAAAGGTTAGATTGGGACGCTCAAGGAATTAAAGTCTTGTAGGGTGCAATAGATATGACTTGCAAATTTCAGAGGATATCAAATGGTTCAGCCTTTTAGACTAAATTTGCAAATTTGACATCCGTTCAATTATTTTAGCCCGCAAGGCAGACAAAGTGATTGAATTTTAAAATTATCTTGATATTGAATTTAATTTTAGTCTAGTATGGATTAATAAAATTATTTATTTTGATATAATTTTGAATAATGGATCTAAATCAAAATTACATAGTTTAATAACAACAAAGTGCGATTTGGTTGATTTCCTAACTAATCTAAAGACTAAAAGGTTTTAGATTCAAAATCTCTCCATCTAGAAATTTTTAGCAATTTGGTGAGTCAGAAGAAAAATTATTCCATGTTGTATACGCATAATATTATTCTGACTCATTAAACCTAATAAAATGACTATCATCAGGTGTGGGGAGTAAGAGGTTCGGATTTGAGTTTTCTCCACCATAAAATTTATTATTTTGATGAATGTTATTCAAAGGGTAGAGTTACCACCTATTGTGTAGTTCACAACGTTATTCCAAGCCATTTAAATTTGCTATACATTTTAAAAAAAAAAACAATTAATTTTTCTAAGTTATAATAAAATTATCATTAAAATGACTAACTTATCTTTTAAAAATTGTAAAAATAATTTGCATTTAATATAAATATAGATAGATAAAATTGAGAAAATATTATTAATTAGTTTTTGATATTCTAAAAACAACTTATATTTGTAGAGAACTAAACTATCCTAAAATCATTTATATTTATGGATATAAATATTTTTTTTGTAAAAGAATATTGTGGGTCAAACTATAAAGATATTTTAATACATTTATCAAAATAAAAGAATTACATGGTCACATGTATTCATCAAAATAGAAGGATTCTACGTCCTTATCAAAATAGGAGGACATCGGCTGTGGACACTGATGGAGGGGTGCTGGGGGCCATTGCCTCCAAGACATGGTCTCTTTGATTTAAGATTTTCAAATTTTAACCTGAAATCTGCCCTTAAACTGCAGGTTCCAGTTGCAGATGGTTGCTACAACCCACCGTTCAGATATGATTTGAGATTTTAAGAATAATATAGTGAAGTTGAATTTGAGTGTTTAAAACATCTATGTTAACCTGAGCTTGAGTATCAAAATTAAAACTCGATCTTCAAGTTGAGTTTCAAGCCAATTGAGTCAAGCCCGAGCTTAGCACTCTATCGAATCGACACTGTTCTACCCTTTTAAATGATATCAACTATTCCATATTGTCAACCAACTCTAAACCTCTTCATCTCTATTAGAGCTGCAATGGCATGCCATAGACTGGCAGATGAAGAAATGCCAATTCCAATTAAGCGTTGTAATTCCAGAAGCTTTCCTAGTTAAATTCCTTACAATGTCAATACACGATCATAGATCAGAATGAATGGCAATGTTGACAAAGGATTGAGATGAATCAAACTCTTCGAAACTGATTTTCGTTTGCCCCTCGCTTGGTAGATAAAGTTGAGGAGCGTGCATCTGTAACAGCATAAACCAAGCATGTTGTCTGTATTGGAGCACGCCTAAGTACTGCCTTGGCTTCTTTAACTTCATTGAGTGGCTATACAACTTCCCATCTTCCTTTGAGCTAAAAAGAATCATCTTATGTGGAGATTGACACTGCAACATTTTTCCAGTAAAAAGCCTAAGCGACATAGGCATACCAAGCAAAGAATTAATACGTTAATTCTCTATAGTAAAAATGTGCAATCCATACAATACAGCAATCCATAACTTCAGTCTCTGTTCTCACTTTGTAACCCAGAATCTTCATTGCTTTGGGTCTCACCAGGCTTTCATTTACTAGCAAGCAAACCTCGGCAACCCAAAATAAAAAGATTAAGAAGCTTTCTCCGAACTTCATATACTGGATTAGGATCAATTAAGCGGTCCTTCTCATATGCTTCCCTCAGAAAAACAGTATGTCTCTTACCTTTTGTAGATAAATAAAAAATGTCCGGATGATCCAAGAACAAATCTCTTATGTTCAAATCAATCCCAAAACATTTCCTAAAATGGCTGATCTTCTCCACTGTCAAACCCAAAAATTCATGTACAATTTCAACTGCTCGTTTCTCCAATCCCATCAACCCTGCCTTGGATCTCTTCTTCTCTACCAGTTCCTCATAGGGCCCTAAATATGGCAATCTCTGCCATTCCTTGACTTTAGCTCTGAAGTCCTTGCTCAATCTCATTCCTGGAGGATACTGATGCTTGAAACTAAATTGGATTTCAGTTCTATCAACGCTGCAATCCTCCTTACAACACTCAGTCACCCTCCATTCTCAACTGCCGCAGTAAAATGGTTGTTTGGAATTTCATCCACTAGTTTCAATACATGTGTATTTGGTTCATTGGCATCACACAGTTTAAAAAGATGAGGGTTTAGGGATATCACAGAGTCCTCAAAATCATCCGGAAGCGCTAGCTCCCTCCAAAACTTGAAGATAGCACGAAGTGGCAACGATTTGGGTGTGGATATTGATAAAAGCCGAACCAATCAATCAATGACAGTTGGCAAGGAAGCATTAATAGCCTCTGCTTCTTGGCAGGAAATTTGGAGAGCAGTATCAGTCAATTTGCAAAAGGGTTGTGATAATCTCGTGTTGTAGAAGATGTGGAAGACATGTGGATATCTGCGAATGAAAGAGGTGCACCACGATTGAGATGAAGCTTCTGGGAGAGTCCAGAAAGGAAATCAAGGGAAACCGATGGTGGGTTGTTGGTAGGGTTTGCAAGAATGAGGTCTTGAATGGCAATGACTTTTGGCAAGGTTTTTATACTTTCCATTAGTTTGTCAAATGTAGGTTCTCTAGCTCTCGATGCTACATATTGAGCTGAGGTTGTTTTCCATCGTATAGTGATAGATGCAGTAAAAGGGTGCTGTATAATAGATTTAATGATTCGGAATCTCATTCTGATGTGCTAATTAACTTTGTTTTAACACTTTGGATCTCTGTAAACCTAAGACAAACATGTAAAAGGCACAGACCAGAAAAATGCTTCCAGAAGGAGATGCCTCGCCCCAACCTATCTATGAGTTCAAGCAAGCCTGGTAAGATGAACCGTAAGTCAGCTGCCTGATGATAGTTAAGTACAGACATGATCATAACTATAGAATATAGCATTACCAATGTGATATAGTTCTATCTCAGTACACACAAAGTTGCCAATAACTTATTAAATAAATAAGCACCAACATATGAAGACATATAAACTGCTACTTGTACTGACTCCATGGCACAGAAAAAAAAAAAAAAAATCAGTAAATCACATACTTTCTCCAGCTTTGAGCAAAAACCAAGATCTAACCATAAAATTTCAATATAAAATGTGAATCTAAAGCTTCAACTGCAAGGTTATGGATAAACTGTTAGGGGCATCTGTTACATGTTCTTATACCATAATTATAAAGTAAGACAATAATATAATTGCAGCATACAATGATGTAAATTTGTTATGACGAAAAAACAGGAGAACGACAAAAAAAAAAAAAAAAAAAAAAAAATATCACAGCCATACACCACAAAGTTGCCAATAACTTATTAAATAAATAAGCACCAAACATATGAAGACATATAAACTGCTTAACTTGTACTGACTCCATGGCACAGAAAAAAAAAAAAAAATCAGTAATCACATACTTTCTCCAGCTTTGAAGCCAAAACCAAGATCTAACCATAAAATTTCAATATAAAAATAGTGAATCTACAAGAAATATCACTGCACAGGTTGGATAAACTGTTAGGGGCATATGATTTACATGTCTTATATTAATTATAAAGTAAGACAATAATATACATTGCAGCATACACTGGAGTGTAAAATTTTGTATTGTAGAAAAACAGGAGAACGACAAAAAAAAAAAAAAAAAAAAAAATGACCACATGAAAACATTCCTCTCAGAATCAATATATTATCAAAACACATGATTATGCTGTTTTATACTGTATGCCGAGAGAATTATATGGCATGCCTTTTAATAGATATTTATTTATAGTTTACAGTTAAAGAGGGATCACAAAGAAAGCGTAAGGTGTTGGAGAAGATGAAGAGCTTATGGAGATCAAGGGAGAATGATAGGATCTAGATAATTCGATCTTTCTGCTCAAGGAAGGCGAAATGTAGAAGGAAGACATGACAAGATGAAGTGACGCACTTTAATCTCAGGTTGTTAATCTTATTTTGCAATTATGCAACACTTTTAAATTTTTCAATTTACTATTAATATGTCTTACTACTTCATGTAGTGCTATCTATCTATTATTTAACTTCATCATTATATTTTACAATTTTATTATTTTTGAAATAAAGATTAATATTTTATTTTTCAAAGCAACAGTCTTTAAATTAAAATACCACGAATTATGAAAAAGAAGTCTTTTAATGTGAATATAGCTAATATGTACAATATTTTACTCAATAGGATGATAATTTAATATAAATGAAATTAAGACCAATTTTTTAATTAATAATTTTTTTTATGCTTTTTGCAATTTTAATTTAATGCAAGTTAGATAAAAAATTATTAAAAAATTATATTTATATAGAAATTATAACTTAAAAACTAAAGTGTCAAATACTTTCATTATTTTATTGATGAAACTAACAAAAAAAATATTGTTCGAAAAATGGTGTTGTTGAGTTTTACATAAATTTTAAAACATTAATCTTTAATTTGCTTGAAAAAAAAATATTTATCGACATTTATAGTTAGTACTTTAAATGAATAACTTTATTAATGAATGCAACATATTTTATAGTAATTAACTAATATTAGACCCCGCGTAAATGGGCGAAACAATATTAAAGAATGAAATATATTTTAATAACATTAATTTAAAATAACAAATTCGTATAATAAAAATGTTCGTGAATGTATTAACGAAATTGTAACCTCGTTGAGATAGGCTGAAAAAGTTTATAAATGCTAGATGTTGTCTTCCTTAAGTATCGCGAACGTCTTTTCACCAAGATATGCAATAGTAAAAAGCCATATAATGAATATAATCTGCATCAAACAAATTACACTCACGACACTATTAATATATTTTTTTTAATAAGTGATTGATAATTTTGAGAATTTAAATAACTATATTGAAATAAAAAATTATTTTTTTATTTTTATGTTTTAATGATTTATTATTAAATGATTGTTTATTTATTTGAAATATTAATATATTAATACTTATTTGGTGTAGTGTGTCCATATGCGTGTGGATGTCTAATTTTTTAAAAATTAAATCATATGTCATGTGTTCTCATATCTCTGTCTTGGTATCTGTATACAACCTAACTCCTAGTAATATGAAAGCTACTTCATGTACCAGTTAATCAACCAAGGAGGTTTTTTTTTCTTTTTTGTTTACAGAAAAAATGAAGTGTTTTTTTAAATTTATTGTGTCTTTTTTTTATTAGTGAATTATCAAAAATAACCCTCGTTACGAAATAAAGCATATTTCAAAGTCTTGATTAAGTCATTCGTCTTGCTATCATTCTTTCTATAATTATTTCCCCATTGAAAGAGAGATGTTTTAATGGAAACCTACAATGAAATAAAATTGAAATGGAAGCAGGTTAGCTCTATGCTGCATTATTGTGAGTTTCAGCTGGAATTTTTTAACTAATTATTTTTGAAATAAGAAATCAAATGTTTTTTTTTTTTATTATGAAGTTGTTTTTTTTTAAATTTGTTTTTAGAACTGTCTTTTTCTTTTTTATTTTTTCAATATCCAGATCTTCAACGGAACTTATTTAGTGTATCTCTGAATTTAGGTTAATCTCTCTATCCCATTTTGCTCAATCTACTATAATGGCGTATAATACACTGTCCAAAGAAAGGCAAATTGTGCTATTTACCACATTAGCTTACCCAGTATAAGCACAACATCTAACTCTCGTCTTTTTAAAATTTGCTTTTTTTCTCTCCTCGGCCGTATTATTTACTGATGGTAATTTCTTTTTTCCAGTTGTTTATTAGGAATACCCATGAAGTAGGTAAGAAGCCAGGCAATGGGGGCGGACGATGCGTAATTCATCGTCAAATATGTATTAATTACCAAAATTTTAGCATGATTTGAGATAAACTAATTGTAATTTTTCATATATCAATATTTGTTAACTTTGATTTAAATGCTATTAGTTGATTGTTATGAGCATAGAAACTACTTATAAATATTGAAGATCTTTGATAACACGACTAATTTAATTTTGAAAATATAAAAAAACATCCGAATTTAAACGCTTATCAATTGTGTTAAAACTAATACTCCTCATTACCACTACAATGTTTGAGCAGACTTGATCTTTGTCATTCTAATATAAACTTCTCTGCTTATTTAATAGTACTGATAGTTTTTTATATGATTATAGATTTGCCTTTTTCTTCTCATCTCCCCGCGTTAACACTTTTAACCGAAATAGATCATCAGTGATTCCTTTTTTTTTTTACGTTTATTAGGAATAATAGGAGTAAGAAAAACCAACAAGGCCGATGATGTCACGATGGGTCCAACATTGCAGTAACTTTTGGACTTACTTATCTTCAATTGTGGGCGTCGTATATTGAGAGTCTTTATTATTTTATTTTTAATATCACATTTTAACTTTTAATTTACACTGACATCTTGGATGGATGTTAATTACATATTATTTTGATAAACGCGACATATATCATGACAAATGGTCAAAACAAACTTAACCTTTTTATAATTAATCAAGTGCAGCTTTACCATATGGACTCAATTTTGGTAATTAAACTAACCGACTTTCTTTTATAACTTATCGGCAATTATGAATGGAGGCGACTGATACACTTGTTAGGTCGCTATTTAATTTTAGTCAAACTTTCTTCTGTTTTTATATATCATATAGCTTTACACATCAGATGTTATAGTATATGGTACTATGGGTTTATTGATTTTGGTGGTAAAAAATTAATGAAAACAAATCAAATTACGCTTTTACTTCTATTCATTTTAATAGAGTCTTCTTAATGATATAAGATGATTGGTACATCTATTAAATACTATTATAAGATTACTATTTAAAATATTTTATAATCATGTGATGGAAAATTAATACTAGTTTTATTATATAAATTAAAAAAATTCATTTAATAAACTTTTAACCGGAACTAACAAAATTTTATAGTACTAAATGGTAATTAAAGGAATAATAAAAGATTTAGTGGGAAGGATACTATTGTGCCAATAATGTAATTAAAGAACAATAAAATGATTAAATAGAAAAATATTAATTACGGCAACGAACTGTCAATTAACGAAACAAGAAGGGTTAAGTAGGAAAGACATTGCTGTGGTATAGTGCTTTTTCCCACTCGGCTTAGTAGTATATTTTTAAATGGATAAACACAAATTGAACTTATAGCAGAAATTTTATTAAAGAATAATAAACGAATTTAGTGACGACAGGACTAATATTGTAGGCAAGAATTCATTGAAGAAATAATAAAGAATTTAAATAGAAAATTATTATTAGGCAAGGAATGTAAATACGACAACTAAAAGGACTTAAATAGGAAAACACACTGTTGTGGTAACACATGCTTTTTCTCCGCGGCTTAGTTAATATTACTTTTAAATGGACATAACGAAAATTTAAATTATAGCAAAAAATGTAATTAAAGAATAAACTAAAGGATTATGGTGCGAAAACTATATTGGACAGAAAATGCAATTAGAGAATACATAAAAAATTTAGTGGGAAAAAGGGATAACTATGTTGCGGCAAGAATGTAATTAAAGAAATAATAAAAGGGGTTAAATAGAATTAATAGGCAGGAATATACATCTTACATGAAAACTAAAAAGGTTAAGTAGGAAAAACCACTGTTGGGTTTTACCTGTTATTTTTCCAGCTGGCTTAGTATAGTATAATACTATGTATATATAGGAGAAGAATGAGTATCCTTGTATTTTCTTCATCAATATATCTTTCCCTACTACTATTCTCATCCCAGGATTTTAAAACTGGTTTGGGGGGCAATAACTACAGAACAATATAAAAGAGAACTGCAACAAAGAAAGGGTGGTAGGAAAAATAATCTTCATATACCGAATTGCAAATTTATCCTGTTGACGTAAACTCACCCGAGATCGGATACCACCCTTACAAGAAAATTATACGATTCCCATTCCCTTTTTGAGCTCATACAATGGCACGAGCCTTAGTAAGCATCATAGGCTAAATCCATCAAAACAGATTAATAAGCGCCGGCAACAATTTTTTGGGACTTTTTTGACCAAAATTCAATTAGTCCAATGCTTTTAAATTATGCTCAGTTGGCACTATCTTTTTCGCTTTCAGAACTTAACCTTTTTTGGGGCCTTGTAGTCAATTACATACCTTAGTCCATAGTTCCCCATTTGGGGAGTTTGTTGGCTATTATGCCAGCAAGTAGTACTGATTGGCTACACAGTTCTACACACATGGACATCCT